GTAGCACAGTGTTTTATAGCACAAAGCATTCCAGGGAGTCAATGGAGTCTATAGCATTTCAGGCAAAGATTGTCCAATCTCTTCTTAAAAACTTCCAGTGTTGAAGCTTTTACAACTTTTGGAGGCAAGTTGTTCCACAGATTAATTGTTCTCACTGTCAGGAAATTTCTCCTTAGTTCTAGGTTGCTTCTCTCTTTGACTAGTTTCCATCCATCCTGCCTTCAGGTGCTTTGGAGAATAGCTTGACTCCCTCTTCTTTGTGGCAGCCCCTGAGATATTGGAACACTGCTATCATGTCTCCCCTAGTCCTTCTCTTCATTAAACTAGACGTATCCAATTCCTGCAACTGTTCTTCATATGTTTTAGCCTCCAGTCCCCTAAGTCATCTTTGTTGGTTTTCTCTGCACTCTTTCTAGAGCCATGATGGCGAACCTATGGCATGTGTGCCACAAGTGGCACGCTGAGCCATATTTGTGGGCACGTGAATGTTGCCCTAGCTGAGCTCCAGTGTGCATGCGCATGCTGGCCAGCTGATTTTTGGGCCTTCTGGTCCCACCGGAAGTTGGGAAATGGGCCGTTTCCGGCCTCCAGGGGGCTTCTGGGTGGGTGGGTGAGGCCATTTTCGCCCTCTCCAGGCTCCTAGAAAGGCTCTGGAGCCTAGGGAGGACGAAAAACAGGCCTACTGGGCCCACCGGTAACCTTTTTGCCATCACGTGCCAAAAGTGGGAACATGGGGATCCACGCGCGCATGTGTGGGGGGTGGGGCATGGGAACATTGAATTATGGGTGTGGGCACAGGCATGCGTGACCCCCTCACGTTCCCCGCACTTTTGGCATGCGACAGCAAAAAGGTTAGCTATCACTGGTCTATACAGACTCCATGGAAAAGATTTCTTTTTAGGAAGAATCGTGGAACATGAAAATAGGGCCCTACTTGGGGCAACATGGGGATGGTCTGTTTATTTTCAAATGTAGGGTTTTTTTAAAAAAAAGTATAGGTAGTCCTTGTTTAGTGACTGTAATTATTTCTGGCAACTTGCTTATTAAGTGAAGTGATCCCTAAGTGAAAATCACATGACTGTGCCTACAGCTTTCCTTTGCTTAACAGTTTCAAAGAGATACAGCCCCAAAGAGCCAGCTAAGACCACATGGAGGGGAAGGTTTCTGGAGCTGAACTAATGAAGAAGATAGATAAAAGGGCAAATGATAGCCCTTTTCTCCCAAATTTCCCACTTTTTGGAATGCTCCCCTTAGTTCAGGGATAAATAGCAAGAAAAGAATTGATGTTGGCGTGTACATCCATTGGAAAAGATTACAAGAGAGTAAGCAGGCACATAACAAGGAATACACATCCAATGGAGCAAGCAGTTTAGGAGGCAAACAAAAGGGTGAAACTGATTAAGATCGATTTCAGGCATCAGCTGAACCTGTAGGATTCTACAGTAATCAACTATAATAGTGTTGGAAGAAATGTCCATTTGGGTTCAGTTCCAAGTGGGGAGAAAGACACTGGAAACATGGAGACTGCTTGAAAAGATGGTTTAATGGTGGACAGGACCACATGGTTTTGAGGTCCTGAGCAAAAAAGCACATGGGTGTGAGAGAGAGATTTATATCCTCTATTGGGCTTTGAATTTGAGCTTGTATTCTGATTGGTTGTCAGATATGCATGGAGCCATGCAGGGGTAACTTTGTAGGTTGTCTTTTGAGTTTGGCTTGGTTGAGTCTTGCTGGGTGATGCAAACTCCCCAGGTGCCATGTGAGTTCTGTTGCTAGATGGGTAGAGGGCTAATCCTATCTTTGTTGGATCTTGGGTGAGGGCATTTGCTTATGAATAGACCTAGCTATCTCTTTATCTTTTAGGTGCTGACATCTGCTGTGGGCTATTGAGAGTGTGGGGGCTATTAAGTCTGCTTCTTGCCTAAAAAACCATATTTCTCCATTTCTCATCCAGGGAGGTAAAATATTCTGCCTTTTTAATATTTCCTAGAATATTTCATTCTTCTAGGAGAGGGATGGGTGCTAACTTCCTACAATAGTATTTCCCAACCTGGGAAACTTAACATGTGTGAACTTCAACTTCCAGAATTCCATGATGGTTCCAAGAATCACTGAACCATAGTAATTAAAGTCATAGAGCTAAGTTTAACTTGCCTTTAGCATTTCGGTGGTATTGCACTGCAGAGAAAATCGCTTAGGAAGAGATAGTTTAGGCAATCTGCAAGGAGAAGGGCATGATGCACAGAACAATGTATACTAACTCTCTCTAATATGCAAACACATAATAGAGATGCTGCAAAGGTTGTAAATGCAAGCATTGGTCCCAAGTTACTTTTTCATTACTATCCTACAGTGACTGCCCAAAGCAGTTATTAAATGAACACTGCCTGTAAGAACTTTGTATGTTAGTATGTATTTGGAAATTCTAGTTTCATTTGTCTCATTGTTTGCTTCTTTCTATTTAGTTGATGATTTACTTCATAGGTAGCTGAGATTCCAGCATGATACAGGTAGTCCGTGACTAATTATCAGTTGCTTAGCAACTGTTATGATGGTCCCCCAAAGGCTTAGATTAGATTAGAACCCAGGTTCAAACTTCGGATGGTTGTCCATTAGCTTCTTTTCATTATAGTATAAGCAAATTCAGCAGAAAGCTGCCGTATAAAAGAGCCAATCACAGCCTCACATTTATTTCCAAAATCTCTCTGGGTCCTAGTAGTATTAGATTAGGAATGAGGAGATCCAGGTTTAAATCCACTTTCATTCATAGAAGCTCACAGATGATTTTGGGCCTTGAATTATAACCATTCATTTAATGATCATTTGTAGCTACAATGCCACTGAAAAAAGTGACTTATGACCCTTTTCACACTTATGACCATTGCAGCATACCTGTGGCTCAAAATTTGGACACTTTGGACACATTGCAGTGTCCTGGGGTCATGTGATCGTCATTTGTAACCTTCTCATAAGCAAAATCAATGGGAAGCCAGATTCACTTAACAACCATGTTACTTATTTAATAAGTGCAGTGATTCCTTTAACAACTGTGATAAGAAAGGTCATAAAATGGGGCAAAACTCACTTAACAACGATCTTGCTTAGCAACAGAAATTTGGGACTTAGTTGAGGTCGTAAGTCGAGGACTACCTGTACTGCATGTTTCTGCTCATCATAAAATCTCCTCCCTGATTTTATGCATTTGTAAAAATCACATTCCCATTTTACAGAACGAGTAGAATACATAAAATATACCATATTTTTCGGAGTATAAGACACATCGGAGTCTAAGACGCACCTTAATTTTGGAGAAAATAAGAAAAAAGCTGATATCCCCAATTAGCTGTTCCCAGAGGTGAATTTTAGCAACAGGTTCCTTGGTTGTGAATTCTGTGCCTTGCTTTTTTTTGCTTTTTTTTCTGACTCTCAAACTTCTGAAACTCTGTTTCAGAAAAAACTTTTTTTCCTGCCTCTGAAAGCTTTCAAAACAGAGCTTCAGAAAAAAAGCCTCTGAAGCTCTGTTTGGGAGCTTCTTTTCTGAAGCTTTGTTTCTGATGCTTTTTTCAGCTCTGAAACCTCTGTTTGAGAAGCTGCACCCAGATTTTCACCCTTTTTTGGGGGGGGGAAAGGTGCATCTTATACTCCGAAAAATATGGTACATTTGTAAAACGCTCAGATACTTTGGCCATCAGATGAAAAGAGTGGAATTCCTTGGAAAACACCCTGATGCTGGGAAAGACGGAAGGCAAAAGGAGAAAGGGACGGCAGAGGATGAGATGGTTAGATAGTGTCAGTGACACAGTGGGCATGAATTTGAGCAATCTTCGTGGAGACAGTGGAGGACAGAAGGAAGGCCTGGCTTTCTGTGGTCCATGGGTTCGTGAAGACTTGGACACGACTTAATAATTGAATAACAAAAAATGTACAAAGTAAGTAAAATATAAATAAAATCTCATTTGGATTTCTGGGACATTATGGCTTCTTAAACACACAATCCTTCTCCCTGACCTACGAAATCAAAGGTGTATGTGAATACAGGTAGTCAACTTATGACCACTACTGAGCCCAACATTTCTGTTGCTAAATGAGACATTTGTGAAGTGAATTTTGCCCCATTGTACAACCTCGCTTGCCACATTTGTTAAGTGAATTCCTGCAAGTTGTTACGTTAGAAACACAGTTGTTAAATGAATTTTCTCCATTGACTTTGTTTGTCAGAAGGTCACAAAAGAGGATCACATGATCCTGGGACATTGCAACAGTCATAAACATGAGTCAGTTGCTAAGCATCTGAATTTTGATCATGTGACCATGGGGATGCTGCAACGATTGTGTGTAAGTTGAGGACTACCTGTATTTTCAGCTCTTTCCAAGTGCCTTGTAGACCTGATAATATCAATGGAATGGAAGCGAGTAAAAGTTTTGGCCTGTTTAGGAGGATAAGTATTAATCAGTAATAATCAGTTTTCCTGATTATTATTAGAAGAAAAATGTCGCTTTTCAGAATAAGATGAGTGCCATAAAATAAAATAAATAAATACATTGTGCAAAAAGTTGCATTTGGCCTTCCAGTGATCCATTAAAAATGTAAATGTCAAAAAACTGGCCGGATAAATTATGGTGCTGAGGATGGGTAATATACGAAGCAGCTCTAAGGTTGATGCTCTCTCAGATAAGGTTGGCAGAAGAAGAGCCAACCAAAGTTGTTTTTTTTCTACTTTACAAACAGCATGGAATGTGTCTTCTACTTGTAGCGGCTCTTCTCCAATTAATTGACTAGTCAAGTAGGGCTAATTACCCCAATTTTCTATCCATTTTCTGACATGGGATGTGAATAAACACTAAAAGGAATCAACAACTCCCCTCCCCACCCTTTGCAAGTAGGTCTCATGGGACCATTATTGTCAATTATACTGACATAAGCTTTGTCTGCAGAGTAATGACGCACCCAAATCCACGTTTCTCCCCTCTATAAAACTTGGGTTCCTTCCTGTCTGGGGAATCAGAGCTCCAGCAATTCAACAAAGACATGAAGGTATGATTCCTCTGATCTATAATTTCAGGAGTCAGGAGGTCTTGGTTGGTTGGTTGGTGGGTGAGGGTAATTCTGGCAGCAGCATTTATGTGGCAGATGGAAGGTTTGCTAACTGCTTTTTAAGGTGGGCATTTGACAGAAAAGAGTACTGAAAAAAGTCTTTAGCTATAGAGTTTCTACCTGTTGTACTGCTGTTCGGTGACTCAAGAATCCTATTAGCTAAATGTCTTGTATGCTTGTATCTACCAAGCATACATACCATGTACCTTCAGGTATGTAAACAGTCTCAAAGCATTTTGATGAAATATTCTAAAACTGTAGAACATTTTCAAGATTGTGGAGTGAAGGCAAATCTGAACTACAGTTAATTATCATGCAGGATAGAAATTTGATGGGTTTTTTTATGCAGAGCAATTTTCCAAGTTGTTTTACCCAGATTTTTGACTGCTTATTCACATTGTATAAGGTCAGTGTAAAAATAGCAATTTTCTTGAGGAAGTATTAACCATGTTTTTAGAACTAAAATAATCCATTCTGAACTGCAAAAAACTGAATAATCGCTAGATAGCAACATAGAGACAGAAAATATGCTTTGAAGATACAAAGCATATTTTCTGTCTCTATGTTGCTATCTAGAGATTATCCAGTTTTTTTGGGGTTTTGGCAACTTGATAAGGTGGCCTTAACGGAAATGCAATTCCCATGTTTTCTAGCATCTGATGTGATTGTAGGTTATAAGAATTATAATTCAGAATACTTGTAGAGCTATGATAAAAGACTGGGAGCGGCATAGAAAAAGAGATATTCTTTTATAGAGTTCACACAGCACACTAAGCCAAACTTTGCTTAATCATGGTTTACTGAATAAAATAGACCATAACTGAATTCAGATTTTGATTCGCTTTGGTTGGCATGTGTCTATTATCAACCATAGTGACAATATAATTTCAGATAAATTGTTGTGTGTTTATCAAAATTTTAAAAAAACCTGCTAACTTTTAAATATCAGAGGTGGTAGTAAAACCGAAGAAAATATTGTAATCCTATTTTCCTACAAAGGAAAAATTTATTAGCAAAGAAATATCATGTGATTGGAAATTAGCCTCTTTTCTTTGGTTCTCTTCTTTCCTCTATCCAGATGAAGACTTCTTGGCATGTCGTTTGCTTTTCTTTGCTCTTCTGTGCACTGCTTGGGGACTGTTTTGGAATTGCGTTTGTGGTGAGTTGGATCAGATCTTCCAAATCTATCTTGTCAATTTACTGGGGGAGAATTAGAGTACCAGCATCTGACTCTCACCGTCAGAAGGAACAAGATGGTAAAGGCAGTGGTTATACCATGGACAACGGAATTTCAGAGTGTGGATTTCAGGTCTGAATGCTCCATGGTGTTGGGTGTTTTTCTAAGAGTATGTATGATATGTATGTTTTTTTTAAACCTAAGTATGATTAACTATGGAGGAATATCTGCACCAAGAATATCTGTACTACTGCGGCATTTCCATCCAATCGGTGAAGGGGAAAATGGAGTCTGATTTATTGTGATCCACACAAGCGTTAGTCAACCAGAAAAGTAGGTTGGTAGCAGCCCACAAGGAACTTTCTGTCTCAGTACTTTTCTAGCTGCTAGAGTATGAGAAGATTTTCACACCATCCCTAATTTCATGACCTTTTTGAGAGGTTCTTCCTCAGAACAAATCATAGGTGTGTTTGATAGCTACCTAGCACACAAGACAATATATCACTCTGAGAAAATACCATTCAGAATATGTGAACACCATTTTACCATTAAAATCTGAGAAAGGACAGAAGAATACAGAATAATAGAGTTGGAAGGGATCTTGGAGGTCTTCTAGACCAACCCCTTGCTCAAGCAGGAGACCCTATACCAGCGATGGCAAACCTTTTACTCATTGAGTGTCGAACAGGTACACACTTCAGTGTGTGCGTGCTATCCGCACTAACACACATTTCCATCTGCGCATGTGCACAGGTTTTGCACAGGCCTCCCCTGTGTGTTGCGTGTGCAACCACACCATTTGCACATGCGACAACTTTCGTGCGGCTCCCCACTGGGTTGCGTGTGCAATCACACCATCTGTGCATGCGCATGGTTTTTGCGTGCACAATGCATGCAAATGCCATCTACGCATTAGCGCGCTGTGCGCAAGTGTTCACACATGTGCAGGAGAGCTCCGAAGACCAGCTGGGTCCCCTGAATTGCACACATGCACACTGGAGGTCTGAACACCAGTACGTGCGTGTGCGCATGCGCTGCTGCAGGTGAGTTGGGAGACAGCTCGCGTGCCCAGAAAGATGGCTCTGCGTGCCACCTCGGGCACGCGTGCCATAGGTTTGCCATCATGGCCCTATACCAGGGTGAAATGCTCCTGGTTCAGACCGGTTCAGCTGAGCTAGCAGCGATGACGGCCGGTGGTTCGGAGAACCGGTAGTGATGGCGTCTCAAGGCTCCGTGCACCCACCCAGTCATTGTTACTTCCTGGTTTTAACCAGGAAATATCCTGTTTTTTACCCTCTGCACATGCGCAGAAGGGTCTGCACATGCGCAGAGGGTCAGCGCATACACATGCACTTCCGAACCGGTAGGGAAGGTTAGTAGATTTCACCCCTGCCCTATACCATTTCAAACAAGTCACTGTCCACTCTCTTCTTAAAATCATCTCCAGTGATGAAGCACCCACAACTTCTGATGGCAAGCTGTTTCTCTGGTTAATTGTTTTCATTGTTAGGAAATTTCTCCTTGGTTCTTGGTTGTTTCTCTCCTTGATTAGTTTCAACCCATTGCTTCTTGTCCTGCCTTCAGGCATTTTGGAGAACAGGTTGACCCTCTCTTCTTTCTGACAGCCACTCAAATATCAGAACACTGCTATCATGTCACCACTATTTCTTCTTTTTACTAGATTGGACATACCCAAATCCTGCAACCGTTCTGTATAGGTTTTAGCCTCCAGCCTTCTAATAATTTTTGTTGCTCTTCTCTGTACTTCCAAAGTACAGAGACTTTAAGACTTCCAAAGTCTTAAAATCGTTTTTTTTTATAATGAGGTGACTAAAACTGTATGCAGCACTCTTGGTGTTGTCTTACTAAAGTTTTATAAAGCAGCATTTTTCTTGGTTCAGATGATAGGACTTCTAGATATTTTCTTGGCATGTTCTACTTTTCTCTCAGATCTAGAAGGTATTGAACAAAAAGAAACAGAACAGTGCAAATTTTCTCCCTTCTGTGAATGAATTTCTCTTTTTCATTCCTTTGAAGTGAAATTTTGCAGATCCTTTTTTTATTATTTTGAAGAGGAAAAGTTGCTCTCCAAATCATGGATTTTTTCCTCTTAAACTTCTTCTCCTTTCTCCTAGTCTAAAAATTGATGCAGGATATAATCATTGAGAGGATTAAATATCCAGCCAATTGGTTTCTCATGCCACTTAACATTTCATCTGAACTTCCTTCCAGGAAGTCACTAAAAACATTATTTTTTAAAAAAATTCCCATAAATTAAATTTTGTTATTCATGAGAATTTACGTTCCTGTTATAGATTAGGACGGTGTTTCTCAACCTCGACAAATTTCAACTGTCTGGACTTCAACTCCCCAGCCAGTTTTGATGAAAAGAATTCTGGGAATTGAAGTCCACGCAGCTTAAAATTGCTGAGGTTGAGAAACACTGGACTAGGGACTGTCTTAAATTTTGTAAAACTTGCTCTGCTATTAATTTGATTTTTTGGGGAGGAGGGGCAGATTATAATCCAGATGAGGCGGATGCAAGTTTAACATCAGGTTTCCTACTGTTCCTTCTGTAGCCCAAGGACAAACGTGGGTGGACCCTGAACAGTGCTGGATACCTGCTGGGACCCCGTAAGTTGATTCATGATTTCACAGATAGGAGAAAACAGGGATAAAGTGAAAGTTGCATTAAGGTCACAGGGGAAGAAATTCTACTGAACCAAATGACATTTCCTTCTAAGGCAGTGTTTATCAACCTCAATACCATTAGGATGTTTATTTTATTTATTTATTTAATTTATTTAGTTTCTCAAGCATGTATGAGTAAACAAGTATAAGTATGAACATAGCATATAAAGATACTAGTTGGACGCCCGTGCTTCGCTATGAAATTATGTGCTCGGGCTTGATAAATTGACACTTACAGCCTGAAACTTAATATAGAATGTGTAACTCCGTAGCATCAGAGTGTGTTAATATAATGCAACTGGCAGTGGGAACAGAGAGGGAGGGGGAGTCCCAGCCCGCAGCATCCATCGGTATTCATGTGGCAAGCATCCTGTCATCTGAGAGAGTTGAGGGGTGTTTGGAAACTCAAACAGTATTTGCTGTGTGAGCAAGGAGACAGGAAGGAGGCTGGGCGTGGCTTAGCTCAACTGTTCTGTAGTAAAGCTGCTTGCTGCCGTGAAAGTAAAACTAAAAGTGAAACTCCTCTCCTCTGCTTGTGTTTTAAATTTGGAACAGATTTCTTTTGAGGTGGGGAGGGGAAGTAGGACTCCTTAGCATCAGAAGGCTGTTTGGAACGAGAAACAATGTTTGCTGTGTGAGCAAGAAGGAGACAGGAAGGAGCCTGGCCACGGCTTAGCTCAAGTGTTCTGTATTAAAACTGCTTCCTGCTGAGAAAGTAAAACTGAAAGTGAAACTCTTTTCCTCTGCTTGTGTTTTGCATTTGGAACAGATTTCTTTTCAGGTGGGGAGGGGGAGTAGGACTCCTTAGCATCAGAGCATGTTAATAATAATATAGGAAATACTAATGCTCTGATGGTCATTTTGAAAAATCCTTTCTTATTAAGCACCTAGAAGCCAAGAGGAACATACATGGCAAATTTCAAGTTTGTAGGCTTTACAGTTCCGGAGATTTCATGATTACAGCATGAGTGGTTTTCGCTTTATATAGATAAATATAAACAGGTATAAGTATATACATATTAAATGAGTATGAATAAATGGGAACAGTAGGACAGGGATGGTAGGCATGCTGGTGTGCTTATGCACGCCCCTTACAAACCTCTTAGGAATGGAGTGAAGTCCACGGTAGACAGTTTAAGGTTAAATTTTTGGGGGTTTGAGGATGTAACAACAGAGTCAGGAAGTGAGTTCCAGGGATTGACCACTCTGTGGCTGAAGTCATATTTTCTGCAATCAAGTTTTGAGCGGTTTACTTTGAGTTTGTATCTATTGTTTGCCAGTGTATTATTGCAGTTGAAGCTGAAGTAGTCATTGACAGGTAGGACGTATGTATACGTATGTTTGGACTTCAGTTCCCAGAATTCCCCCATTCAGCACAGAATCAGAATCATAAGGCTGGAAGGGACTGAGAGGGACCGAGACTTTTACTCTAACCCCTTGTCCAAAGCAGGTGGGGGTGTCCTCATACCATCTTCTTGGATAAACAGTTTTCCACTCTTCTTGATGGAGTACCTACAACTCCAGGAGGCAAGCTGTCCCATTGCTTAATTACTCTCATTAATGTGTTATGGCTGAGAAACACTGTTCTAAGGAAATATGTATAGCATCGTATTATCAGCAGTGAGGGATGGGCCCCTTGATAACTCCCTAAAAAGCAGCAGGTGATCAGTGTTACTATTTCTGGTAACCCTTAGTGGACCTTTGCTCACCAAGACTGAATGATGAAGTTTTAAGGATCTGTTTGTAGATAAGAGTGAAAAATGGGAAGGAAAGATACTTTAAGAGAAGAAGGTAATAAGTTGTTTAAACTTTATACTTGTGATTAAGGGGGAAGTAATGTCTATATATACTACTTCTTCATCATATTATTATTCTCTTTCTTTCTTATATGTTCTTTCTATTTTTCTGTAATTTCTATTTCTTCTTTTTATCCTTTTTTGAAGTTTGTAGTAGTTTTTAATCTGTTTAATTGTAATAATATAATAATTAATAACACAATCTGGCTGTTATAATTGGTTCCCAGACTGATGAGATTCAGCATAGGTAATCCTTGACTTAGGATCACAACTGAGCTCAAAATTTCTGTTGTTAAATCACATGACCATGGGAATACTGCAATGGACATAAGTCCGAAAAATGGTCATAAATCACTTTTTTCAGTGCTGTTGTAACTTTGAATGGTCACTAAGCGAACTGTTGTAAGTCTAGGACTACCTGTAGCTCAATAAATCTTGTTAAAGAGAAGTCTGATGAGAATCAGGCTTGAAAAATAATAGCTTTTAGACAGTTAAAATACTATGTTTAAAGTTACAATGGAACTGAAAAAAGTGTCTTATGACTGGTCCTTGCATTATGACTATCTCAGCATCCCCATGGTCACAAATATCAAAATTTGGACACTTGGCAACCAACCTGTATTTACAACAATTACAGCATCCTGGGGTTAGGTCATCATCATTTATGATTTTCCAGCTGGCTTCCAGCAAGGAAAGTCAATGGGGAAACTGGATTCACTTAAGGACTGTGTGATCTGCTTAACTGCAATGATTTGCTTAACAACCATGACAAAATGATTCTAAAATTGGTTAACAAGTGACTTGCTGAGCAACGGAAATTCTGATCTCAACTGTGGTTGTAAATCAGAGACTACTTATATTATTTTGCTTGTGGCTCCTTCGTGGGGAAAAAAAAACTATGAGGAGATGCAGTGGTGATGATGATGATGATGATGATTATGATGATATCTTCCTCCTAAGAAATACAGTGCTTCCAGATGAAAGCTTCCTGGCATTACTAATGCTAAGTACTAATGCTAGTACTGAAATATGAGATGGAAGACATCTCTATCACATTCATTGTGTGAATGAAAGAAAATTGCATGATACAGGTCATCCTACAACAGTTCATTTAGTGACCATTCAAAGTTACAACGGCACTGAAAAAAATGATTTATGATTATTTCTTACATTTACAACCATTGTAGCATCTCAGAGCATGGTTTTCCGTGATCCAGATTCCAACACTTGGCAACTGACTCAAGATTTATCAAGGGGGTCATGGGATCCCCATGGCAGCCAATCTCATTGTACACACGTTGTGCATTGACAATAAAAGATTTGAATTGAATTGAATCCCCTTTTGCGACTTTCTGACAAGCAAACTCAATGGGGAAGCCAGATTCACTTCAGAACCGTGTTACTAAGTTAACAATTGCATCAATTCATTTAACAACCGTGGCCAAGAAAGGTCGTAAAAATTAATTAAAAAAAAAATTTTTTTTGAGTAAAATAAAATTTACTCAGCAAATGTTTCACTTAGCAACAGAAATGTTGGGCTCGATTGAGGACTCGTAAGTCGAGGTGTAAAAGCTTCATCTGGAAGTCTCCCAATTCGCTTCCTTTTCACCAAATTCTTTGTTTGCTGGCTGCTGGCAGTGGGGTGATTATAAAACGCCACCAGGCAGTCCCTCTTGATTTCATAAGCCCGGTGCAAACCATCTCTTTTTTTTTTCATGTAACCTGCAGCACTTCTTCCCTCCCCCCACTCTCCTCTCCCCAAAGCAGATGCCCACCAGACGTTGCCTGATAAGGGAGCTGTGGCTGGGAAAAGAGATGCTGTGGAGGATCTGTATTCTTTGGGGCAGGATTCTATTGGTGAATATCCATTAGCCGGTTTTTCTGAGCTTTCCCTGAATTTCCCATTATTTAACTCAGGGGTGTCAAACTCAAGGCCTGGGAGGCCGGATCCAGACCGCGGGGTGCTTAGATCTGGCCCATGAAGCCACCTTGGAAACAGCAAAGGACCAGCCTGCGGTGCCTCAGCCAGTGAAATCGGAGCTTGGGAGGGATGCATGCAATCCTCCCGGGCTTTGTTTTCACTGGCAGAGGATTGCAGGAGGCCGTCGCAGCCAAAAATGGAGCTCAGGAGCCTGTTTTCACTGGAAGAGTGCTTGGGCCACCCCCAACACGAGTGACGTTGAGCTGGCCACCCCCATCCTGGCCATGCCCACCCCAGCTCCCCAAGGTCAAATACAACCCTGATGTGGCCCTCAATGAAATCGAGTTTGACACCCCTGATTTAGCCCTTAATGCCGTTTCCTCCCTTTTTCAGCACCTGTTCTGCAACTTCCTGATTATGGCATCTTCCAGACATTGATGGATTTTCTCTCCTACCTGAATCTCCGAGGTGAGAACACATAAGAGGGTCTTTGAGAACGAAGGAGAGGGTATAACGCACTGAGCAGCGGCCTTGCTTAGCAATGGACATTCTGGTCCCACTTGTGGTTGTAAGACGAGGAGTACGTGCCACAGCTGTTTTGACTTGCAGAAGAGAGTGGGAATGCTCCTCCACAGAGCATCTGCCTCTATAACATTTGACTGGTGTTTTCTAAAAGACTTCCTATATACATTGCTCTTATGGAAGAGTGTTACTTCTGGTTTTTATACATAAGGGATTTTATTTGGGCCCATTTCTTACTGTTTTTATTACTTGGGGATGTTGTCTGCAGGTAGTCCTCAACTTACAACAATTTGTTTAGTGATCATTCGAAATTACAACAGCACTGAAAATAGTGACTTATGACCATTTTTCACACTTTCAATCGTTGCAGCATCCCCATGATCATATGATCAAAATTCAGATGCTTGGCAACTGACTCCTATTTATGGGCTCAAGGGATCAGCTTTTGCAAACTTCTAACAAGCAAAGTCAGTGGGGAAAGCAAAGTCATTTAATAGCTGTACTACTAATTTAACAATTGCATTGATTCACTGAACAACCGTGGCAAGAAAAGTCATAAAATGGGGTAATATTCACTTAACAACTGTCTTGCTTAACAACAGAAATTTTGGGCTCAATTGTAGTCGAGGATTATATACTTCTGGATGCTGCTTATCACAATCTCTCAGGGTTAGCACTGACATTTCCTTGCACTGGAAGACAAAGCTTGCTTATTATTGATTTCTTCCTTCATCCGATGCCCTGTTTTCTCTGTTAGCCTGACTGATAGCAATGGCAATAGCACTTATTTATTTATTTATTGGTTCGATTTATATGCAGTCCTTTTCTGGAGACTCAAGGCGGCTTACAATGCGTTAAGCAATAGCCTTCATACTTTTGTATATACCTGCTTAGTAGGGCTTTCGGCCCCCCCTAAGCGGTGTTCTTTTTTATACAAAGTCAGCTTATTGCCCCCACAATCTGGCTTCTCATTTTACCTACCTCGAAAGGATGGAAGGCTGAGTCAACCTTGAGCCTGGTGAGATTTGAACTTGCAGTAATTGCAAGCAGCTGGTGCTACTTAATAGCACTTTAGTCTGCTGCGCCACCAAGGCTCTTAGACTTATATACAGCTTCACAGTGCTTTACAGCCCTCTCTAAGTGGTTTACAGAGTCAGCATATTTCCCCCAGCAATCTAGATCCTCACTTTACTGACCTCGGAAGGATGGAAGGCTGAATCAACCTTGAGCCAGTCAGGATCAAACTCCTGGCAGTGAGCAGAATTAGCCTGCAATACTGCATTCTACCCACTGCACCACTATGGCTCAAGTCACAAGCATGAAGGAAGAATATGGGGTGAGCAGGAAGGAGCATTCTGGAGGCTTTTATAACATATATCCTCCACACTTACTATTTGACTACTAGACCAGCAATCAAGTGAACAATCATCCGGTCAAGGAACTACCAATGCAGACAAATTAATAGTAAACAGCCTATGCAGGGAATTACCAAGAACACTCCCATCGATACCGACAGGGCAAGCGACTATTATATAAAAATAAGAGCAAACTCAATTTCCTTCTAGCACTGATGATGTTACTTAGTGTGGTAATGAAATGTTTGCAAGAAAACTACCAAGCTCAGAGAGCACCAAGCACCCCACGGTTCAACCCTCAAGTTACAAATATTCTCTTTTAGTGGACCTGAAGACAAGTTCAGTTCTCTTAGGAAAGAGCATTAAACCCATGTCTACAAACCTGTGTTTATAATAAAGGCAGGATAATAAAAACAAATGAATGTTCTTCTATTAATGTACTTCTTAAAAGTACAGGGAAAGGATGCATTGGTATGTACTGTATCATTGTATGTATTACATAATAGAGTTTTATAATAATTTCACAATATGTTTAATTATTTTACATATAGACATGGATTCCAAACAGGGGGAAACTATGTTAGATTTATTCTTATAGCATGGGATATTAAGAGTCAAAGACAGTTGGGCGTTACATGGGCAGGACTGAGACAAAACCTCAAGATATGCTTTTTCTTTTTTTAGATCAAACAGTGATTGGACGCCTGCCCCTCCCAGTGTCAGAAGAATCGGTGCAACAGTAGTATTCTTCAGCCTGTCTCTTGTAGAGCTGCTTGTAGCATTGCAGTTCCTTCCCCATTTCACACATGCAGGTGTTGGTCAGATCCTTTGTTGTGTTTTGCCCTCTGCTCATCTAATTCAGCAATTTGCTCAAAAGAATTCACTTCTAATCTAGTTAATCTTCCTGGTCACCCTTTATCTAATGTTGCCATTTATTCTGTAGTTCCTTGTCTTGCACGCCCTCTGTAACCCTCTTTCTTGGGGACATTATTATTCTTTTCCCCAATGCAAACAATTACAGGATATGCAACTATAATGTACTTTCATTTCCTCGTATCCTGATAGCTTCATGTTTTTAACAGACGTTGGCACACTTCTTTGGGATCTGTGTTTTTGTACCTTCATGAGAAGGTCACAAATTGGGGTCTAGAGCATGCAGAAGGTGCCTGTAGAAGAATATTTCCCAACCTTAGCAACTTTAAGATGTGTGGACTTCAACTCCCAAAATTCCCCAGCCAGCATGGGCAACATTTGTGTATCACGATTCACATAAGGAAAAGATTGTATAAACTGTCTATTGAATAAATTCTCTCTTCTAACCTAACTTGCTTCCAGTACGGGTCTGTTTGGCCAGTGGTGTTGCAGTGTGAGTGGACTCATATTAAATCTGAGTTGGTTCAGCGATAACACTAGCAGAAATGATTTGCAGGTGCTCTCTCTCCCCTCCATGAGAAAATTGGCAAGTGGATTGCATTAGTTTTAGTTTACTTTATTGTCATTGCACCTCGTACAATGAAATTAAATGCCATCTTCAGTGTACATTATGCATAAAAAACAAAAACATATCCTTCACATTCTATACAATTGACTTGAAAACCCCTGATATTGCATTAATATTGCACTATACAGTAGAATTCAATATAGTTACTGACCTGGGATAGAAGCTGTTTTTCAGCCTATTTGTCCTTGTTTTTATTGTCCTGTACCGATGGTAATAGTTCAAAAAAAGGGTGCTCAGGATGAGATGGATCTTTAAGAACGTTCTGAACTTTCTTAAGGCAGCGGGAGCTATAAAGAGGGGAGAGGGCAGCCAGTGATCCTCTGGGCAATGAAGTTAACCCTCTGGAGTGCTGTCCTATCTGCCACTGTGCAATTGGCAAACCATACACAGGTGTAGTAAGTTAAAATACTCTCTATGGTGCAGCGGAAGAAGGTCACCAGCAGTTTTTCATTCAGTTGTTGTTTCCTGATTGATGCTGTAGACAGTGTTTCTCAACTTTGGGAACTTTAAGATGTGTGGACTCCAACTCCTAGAATTCCCCAGCCAGAATTCCCAAGGTTAAAAAAACGTTGCTGTAAACTACAGAGTATCAAGGAGAGAGATAACTGATTGATTCTAAAAAGACAGTCTACACCAGGGTCTGCAACCTTAAATACTCAAAGAGCCATTTGGACCCGTTTCCCACAGAAAGGAAAACACCGGGAGCCACAAAACCTGGGTGGGCGTGGCCAACTCGATGTCACTAACTTCCACCAGTCACATGATCCCCCCCCCCCCAGCCAAGCCTACCTAGCTGGTCATTAGGGCGGAGACCCAGTTGTTAAAAAACACCGGGAACCACAAAATCCTTTTGACATATCTCTATCTCCCCCCGCCCCTCCCTCTATCTCTCTGTTTCTGCCCTGGCCGCTTCTCCATTCCCCGCCGTCGCCCTTACCTTCTCAGGCCAGGCAAGGATGACTGGGAGGGGAGAGGAGAGCAGCCAGTGGTGGGATCACCTGACAGGGAGCCACAGCAGAGGGCCCAAAGAGCTGCATGTGGCTCCGGAGCCTCAGGTTGTTGAACCCTGGCCTACACTGAAGTGTTTGGGTAAAAATCCCTCTTGTCACTGGTGAAATCCAAATTTTTTTACTACTGGTTCTGTGGGCGTGGTTTGGTGGGTATGGCATGGGAAGGATACTGCAAACTCTCCATTCCTACCCCACTCCAGGGGAAGGATATTGCAAAATCTCCATTCCCACCCCCCTCTGGGGCCAGCCAGAGCTGGTCAAAATTTCTGCTACTGGTTCTCCAGAACCTGTCAGAACCTTATTTATTTATTTATTTATTTATTTATTTATTTATTTATTTATTTATTTGATTTATATGCCGCCCTTCTCTGGAGACTCAGGGCGGCTTACAATGCGTTAAGCAATAGCCTTCATACTTTTGTATATACCTGCTTAGTAGGGCTTTCGGGCCCCCCAAGCAGTGTTCTTTTTTATACAAAGTCAGCTTATTGCCCCCACAAACCGGGTCCTCATTTTATCTACCTCAAAAGGATGGAAGGCTGAGTCAACCTGGAGGCTGGTGAGATTTGAACTCGCAGTAATTGCAGGCAGCTGGCAGCTAAGTGCTATTTAACAGCGCTTTAGTCCACTGCTCTACCAGGCTCCTGCTGGATTTCACTCCTGCCTCTTGTCATTAACAGAAATCATAGTTCAGAAATTGTGTGTGTGGAAGGGTGAGCATAAAACTAATACAAGGAATTAATAGTAAACAGAGTTTGAAAGATAGCAGGGCAGCGTTCAGATATGACATTATGACACTAATTGTGAATAAACAGTATTTGGTCTATAAAAAAAGCTAATGAAACCAGATAGCTCAGCCCTACAGTTTATTCAGTATTAAGAGTCTATTGGAAATTATGGCTTGTTTTTAATAAATCAGTGTCATAAGCCACAAACAAACCTTGGGGAAAAGCTGGACTCCAGGATTCCTGTTTGCATATAATGCTAAACAAACTATGCTGAGCCTGTTCAGGTTTGTGCCACAGTTTTTGCTGCCAGAGAAGCCAGGCAGGAGTGATAAAGTAGCTCATCTGAGCTCTTTCACTGCACCTAACATTAAAAATGGTGCGTTTGTAAGCAGGTAGCAAATTACTACAGATAGACCTCGACTTATGACCACAATTGAACTCAAAATTTCCATTGCTAAGTGAGATGTTTGTTAAATGAGTTTTGACCCATTTTATGTTCTTTCCTGCCACAGTTGTTAAAGTGAACGACCCACCGTTGTTCAGGTAGTCACAAGGTTGTTAAGTGAATCTGGCTTCTCCATTGAATTTACTTGTCAGAAGGTCACAAAAGGTGATCCCAGGACACTGCAACCATCATAAATACGAATCAGCTGCCGAGTGTCTGAATTTTGATCACGGCAACGGTCACAAGTGTGAAAAACGGTCATAAGTCACTTTTTCAAGGGCCATTGTAACTTTGAACGGTCACTAAACGAACTGTTGCAAGTTGAGGACTACCTGTATTTAAATATTGACAGTGTTGTGAGAACCACGACCTTCTCCAGACTTTCTCTGTAAATCGTTGCTGTTCTGTTCATATTTTCCACAAATGTTCCCACTGAAAAAAGTACAAAGCAAACAAATCTCATATTTTATTAGAACAGGTATTGAAAGTATCAAGCCAATAATGCAATTTACAAGCACACCAGTGACACATATGATATGATCTGTAATTCATGAAGGGCATAATTTGAATTAAGCCTCTGCCAGAGTCCCTCTTGCTAATTGAAGACTAGTTTCCTAGACCAACTCCTGGTTCATTTAACCATGCTTTACTGAATAAACCACTATTGGCTAAATTCATGCCTTATGCTAATGTATAAATAGCAGTTGATAAATCTCAGTGGCTGGATTATAAATCAGGCTAAACCAAAACAAAGCAACCCATATTATGGCTCTATGGAGTAGGACACCTTATGTGGCTCTGATTTTGGGAGAAAGCAGTGAAACCGTATGAAAGAGAGCATGCTTTGAATTACTAAGATCCCCAGGGGACCAGGATCTGCCTTTCAGATCCCATGGAAAGCCTGTAGAACAGGAGCAAATTCAGCTTCTAAGCCTCTACAGGTCTTTCCGTTCTGTCATGCTAGAATTGGTCCTGGATAGGGGTCTGTGAATGTGACAATACATAGTTTGACCCTCGTTATGTATGATTTTATTCCCCTTCCCCCATGTGCTGCTACTTCATTCTTAATCCGAGTTTATCACCAAAAACTTTTGCATGTAAGAGTTGAGCCACTTCTGCCTCTCCATCGCGGTTAACATCTTACTTTTCTCTCGGAAAGCTGCGTCATCTGCTACCACAATACTCCGCTTCCTGCGCCACCCTGGCACCCATCCTGTTGTATCTACTGCCCCCTTTTGGTTCCCAGCTGGTACAGCTTCTTTTCTCGCTAAACCCCATAGGTGGTTTTTTTTGTTCTGTCTTTCATCACGATTGCCATCATCTTGTGAGGCTGTGACATCTGAAGACATCCATTTGAGACTCCAGTCCTGCAGGGTGATGGATGGTTTATAGATGCCCCATGGAATGAGGTCAGCCTTGAGGTCAATGTTGCTCTTTAATCCAGGATACTGAGAGACTTCACGCTTCCCAAACTTCCTGGGAGACAAAAGACATATGAGGTGTTTTTTCTTTTAAGGGAGAAAGATTGAAGATTGCTAAATGTTCTTTTGCGAGAAAAATGTAGCTCGTGTTTTTTTTTAGACTTTATTCCAATGTATGTTTCTAAAAACTGCACATTGTAGAACAGAATTACACAGTGACCTAGTTTACATTGTACAATGTACAGGTAGTCCTTAACTTACGACCACAATTGAGCCCAAAATTTCTGTTGTTAAGTGAGACATTTGTTAAGTGAGTTTTGCCCAATTTTATAACCTTTGTTGCCACAAGTGAATCTGACTTTCCCATTGACTTGCTTATCAAAAGTTTGCAAAAGGAGATCATATAATCCCAGGATCCTGTGGCCATCATAAATATGAATCAGTTGCCAACAGTCTGAATTTTGATCACATGACAATAGGGATGCCGCATAAGTGTGAAAAACACTCATAAATCACTTTTTTCAATGCCATTGTAACTTCGAACGGTCACTAAATGAACTGTTGTAAGTCGAGGACTACCTGTATTTTCTTTAGCTGATGGCTTAATGAGCGCTGTGAAACAAGTCAGTTGTGGCTTCTTGCACAGATAACCAAACTATGATTTGGTAAATGTGCAAATTCAGTCAACATTGATTTACCTTTTTTTCTCTCAAATAAAGCAAAATGATTTCTTTTTACTAGAGAGTGAAATCACAAAGTAGCTGATAGAAATAACAGGTGGATAAATAATTTGACCACCCAGAAAAAAATTGATTGAAACCCATTTGGAAAGTCAACTTCACCTCTTTTTAATTCTCAGGTGTCTTGAACATAACATTCAGTTCTGATTCTTCACAGGTAGTTTGAAATTCATCTAAAAGGCTTTTGAAACATGTGTTCAGATGTCAAGCTGTTTTGACTGAAATCCCAAAATATATTTTGGAAAATGTGTCTGGAGAAAGTTAAAATTAAAAAAACAGGAGTCGGGGAGTTATGATAGAGGAATCCTGAATACTGGATGAATCCTGATCATAATGGAGACTGTGCAAACTGTGCTGCCAAGACAACAAGAGTTAAAATATTTTCTAAGTCCACAGCATCCAGATAACATTTGGAAACAGCTCAGACAGACACCTCCCTAACCCACTGGAATATAAAAAGTGGGAGGAGGTACACACAC